TTCTGAAAGCAACAGCGGCACAGATAATCATTCTGGGCGTCGCGTTCCGATCGCTGTCTTTGGACAACTCTATATGTCTAGCGAATGAAACTCTCATTCCCAAAGAACATGCGGCCAACGTTGGTGACATAAAGTGAGCAATTATTGCTGCAATTAAATTGGTTATATGTTGAACTTGATGTTTTCGACTTTTCAGTTGTGTTGTTGGGCGAATTATTGACGAATTAGTCTTGCCGATGCGGCGACTGGGTGTCGATCTTTGTGAATATGTTGCTCTCAAGGCGATTTTGTTTTTCAATCCAGGTTAGTCACATCACTGACGACGTGTTTGTATTATAGAGCCCACAATTTGGCTGTTTCAGTAGCCAGGGATGTTTCTGATCCAAATTCGGTGGAAAATGCTCGAATAGCATGTCTGCGTGCCATAGAGAGAAGGTCGGTTCTGCCCTGCCCGATCTATCATTTCGCTTTCTCATTCAAAATGCTCGAGGCAATCCGTATAGAAAATAATGAAACCATTGGTTGTACACTGAACACAACCAAACATGATGATAACAAATCTATATATTCAAATCCCGACGCTCTTTTGGATATTTCTGCGTTACTTATTGTTCTCCAGTCCTTTTAGTCAATCTAGTGCTTAGTTGGTTTTGACGACGACCACGTTAGTTACAGTTAGGGTTGAGCTTTCCAATAATTCTGAAATTTCGAAATTTTGTCATTGATGTTTCCAGGTGCCAACGTGGATCTTTGATCACGTCATCGGAATGCCGGTCCGGACGATTGCTACTACTACTTCCTTCTTTACAGGCTGTAGCACAGCAAATGGTGTGTCATTTGTAATACCTCGATATCGATTCAGTCTTGTACAAACTATCAAATTATCTTGTCTTCAGGTTGAGGACGTCCAGTTAGCACGGCTTTTCGGTCTTGCAAATGTCGATTCGTTGATGGAGGAGCTTATCCTGCATGATGAACGACCAGATCGCGATGTTCGCCAAAGTCTAGCAAGTCCATGCCAGATGAATGAATCAATCACAGTCGAGAGTGCTACGGCAAGCCTAAATGGCATAGCAAATCGGGTGTAGTACGCCACTGACTCCCTCATTGTTGCCAATTTCTTTCCTCAACTGCTGCCTTGCTTAGGCAGTAATTTTCATTGTATCAATTCAACACATACTAAACTTTGCTAGCTGCATTTTCTCTCGACAATTTCTCTCTTATTGTCTTGCCAGAATATGATGTGCATTTGACGGGATAACCATCTATTCATTTAGTTCTAGTGCCTCTTATAACTTCTTAAACCTCACTAGCCATGCTCAGTGCAGTGGTCATGGTCACTTTTGTACATTCGCCTAGTCTCTGATTACCTCAACAACGACTTACTTGTCTACTTCACTGTGATTTGCAGAGTTATTACAGAGTTTGTAAATTTTTATCTAATGAAATGATTAGCTTACTTTCTCCTGCCACAGTGCAGACTGGCTGCAAACAAGTTTTATAGCTGGTGATGGGGTGTACAACAGCTTATTTATACCGATTACAAAAACTGATACTATTTTGATCTGTTTCCGTTACTGCCTGTAGCTCTTCAGTCCTTTAAAAATACAAAGCCTTTCCACAATTGTTTTTGTGGGTTCAGCCTTTCATTCAGACGGCTGTACGTGTGCAACATACATCCAATACGTTTCTTTTACTTCTGGCCCATAGTGAACCTCCATCAGTTCGTTAGCTGAAGTGAGCTCTGGCCTTTGTCTTAGAACGACAAGTTAAACAGCCGAAGACCATCAACTGCCACGGTCAGGTTGATGTGCTGTTTGTAAGCTGAAGGTAAGTCATAAGTTTAACTGGCGGAGACAGTGCGCAAAAGCGACAGAATATCGTAAGTTGCTTGTGATAACTTACGAGACACGTGATTTGACTAGTCATAGGATGACAAGCGCGCACAATTGAAAATTTGGTGGCCTACGGATGAAAAGGATCTATGAACGGTTGTTTGTTGCCAGAAGATGGGAAAAAGGTGCTTTATTCATTTTGCAGGGTTCGCTCCATTTTTTGAAGAAGCTGCATGGAATAAAAGATTCATATTTTCTTCCTATGCAATTTCATTCAACCTCGATTTTCCATGCCTCAGCCCTGCTCAAATACATTTTCTTTCAAAAATACACACGCATCTTGCTACAAGGCGGTCCGCGCCAAGATCGATGGCGCCATTGGTACTGCGCCGAGACGCCGTAAGTCCAGCTTAGGTCCGCCTAAGCCGAGTTGAGGTGAAAGAAGGTTTACTAAGGAAACACGCAGAAGTCGCAATACTTTTGCTGTATTACATATATCCGTGCGCTAGGCGGAGATAGCAATACCAAATCATTTGCAAGTGACTGCAAGCAGCCTTCTCCAGTCAGGTTTGCTACAAAATTGGGGCAACAAAGCATAAAGTTCGAAAACACGCCATGCTAGATGAAAGGAACTCTCATTGTGAACTTAGCTGATATACAGCAAGAGCTCACTGAATTCACTTCATCTGGTATGTGGGATAAATAACGACGCCACATGCCAAACGATGCTGGATTACCGATTTGCATATTGGCTCTGCCAATTTGGAGCAACTATCGGAGTTATTAAAGTAATCATTGGCCTGTTGATAACTACGAAATTTTTGAATTGCAACGTTTTTCTCAGTTGAATGTGACAGAACCTCGTTACACTTTTTATTTTTTAAGCGTAAACTGTGTGATGTTTGATTGTTACGATTATCATCTACCACCATTTGCGAATCATCCTCTCCGCCTTTTCAGCTTCTTGACGGTTTGCTCGTGATCGCGGTCCCCACAAGTCTGGATTTCTCTTGAATAGTGGGTGGATGCTGTTACCTTGACTATTTTGGTAGTACATCTACAACATTTTGATAAACGCTTGAACTTCGATATATACACTTACTAAGTAGACAAGCATTATAGGGACAGGCGACAGAATTGCAGCGATCAGGATCCAGTTGTATATATCTAGTGTGCCGGGGCTCTCAAATTCTTCAATAACAAGTGCAATAATACTAAACTGAAATTGTTGTTTGTTACATTAGTTCTAGCAATTTCAACAAGGAAGGATACTTTCTGACCATGATCATTCATAATGAATTGATATTGGCAAATTTGCCTAAATTAAATGCTGGTTCGAAAGTTGCTTTTTATGTTTGCGAAACGATTATCTGGCGAGTTAAGATTTTTTCCAAGAAAACTGCACCACTGCACAGTAACAAGATTTAATGTAGGTTTTGCTTGCTTCCATTTGCTAGGTTCCAATCA